AAAAAAAAAAAAAAAAAGGTTAAAGAATATAAGGGGGGAAAAAAGAATGATCTCCAATTTTAATTCCAGGACTAGGATCCCCAGGGAGGAAGGGAGGTGGAATTCCTGCTGGTGGGGAAGAGTCAGAGTGAGGATATTGATACTGAGCTTCCACTTACTGAGACTGTCAGGCCCCTTCTGAATATTCTTTCTTGAATCCTCACAATTCTGAGAGAAAGGTGCTATCACTATCTCCATCTTACATCTCCATCTTACAGAGAAGGAAACTGAGGCCCAGAGAGGTTAAGGAACACACCCAAAGTGACACAGCTTTCCAGCAGTAGGGCTGGGATTTGAATCCAGGTCCACATGATTTTGGAGCTTGTGTGTTGTTTTCCTGGGTGTGCAATACTCTTCTCCCCAGGAAGCCAGGACCCAGCCAATTCCTGGCATAAACATGGATGGCATAAAAGATTTGTATTGTGTCTGAAAAAATAACTTAATAAATTTTAAAAGAATGACTAGTGGACGACTCCCCTTCCCCCAAGGAGCTGAGACTTCATCAGAAGAAGCAAAGACTATATCCTAGCCCTTGCTGAGACTCTGAATTCCTGAGAGCAGGATTTAAGTCAGGGTCAAGTTTGCATCCTGGTATTGAAAACACAGTCAGGAGCATAGTCTGGAACCATCTAGATAATGAGTGAATTAGGGATGGAGGAGCTCAGGAGACAGGAAGATGGGGAACAGGGCTAGAAGCTTCTACTCCAGAAAGGAGCAGGGGGAGAGGGCAGAGTGATTTCAGCTTCCGTGCTCTGGCTGGGCAGTCCCTGCCACAGCACCCCCCATGCCTTGTGTGGATGTGATGAGGAAGGGGACAAGGGTGCAGGAGCAAGGGCTGACACTTGACATCAAGATGGCATCTCAGGGATTTGAGTCTTGGATGACAGACAGGAAAGGCTGCAGGGCCTTCTTCCTTAGGGAAGCGGCCTGGTCAGATTATTGATCTCTGTGTTTAAATGAGTCACATACTCAGATAGACCTAAGTAGTATCGAGCACCCCCCCAAAAGAGAGAGAACAGAGAAGGGAAGAGGAGGAATGGAGAGGAAGAAACATTGGCGGGCATGGAATGGGGTGTCCAAATCGTGTCTGCAGCCCCATCAGAGATGGCCTCAGCCCTACTTGTCCTGTCCAAGGAGAGTTGGCACGCACTTACCTGCAGCTGGGCATTGACTATCAGAAATGGCACCAGGACTGGAGTAGAACTGGCACACCTCTGCCATCCCCTACCCCCATTTTCATTGCCAGATGGCAGGAGGTCCAGAAGATCCAGAGGAGGGTCTGGGTGGTGGGTGACTCGGGAATATTGTGGGGGAGTGAGTCTAGCCAATGCCCTGGTGCCTGCTGGGAGCCCATCAGTCATTAGGTGACTGGGGGGCAAAGCTGCTACTTCTAGCCCCTAGAAATCCAGAAATCGAGACACCATCCTCCATTAAAACAAGTGAGGTGGAGCCTCCTGTGCCAGCACCCGTGCCTGCCCAGGGGGCAGCCGGTATGGAGAGCACAGTACTGCTCAGGTAGGCAGACCTGGGTTCCAATTCTGATAATCTGCCTTACTCTCTGTGACTTACCCTCCCCCAGAAATGGGATGACAGCCCACTCTCACAGCAGCACAGAGGTGAGCAGGTGCTCCCCCACCACTTAGAGGGGTTCCCTCCTATCGCAGCATCCTCCACTTGGGTGATGGCATGTCCCATTTGCCTCTCTGAGCTTTTGAAAACAGAGGTCAGTGGGTCTCAGAATGAAATTCAGAACTCCTTCCAGGGCCCACAAGACCCACATAAGTAAGCAGTGCTCAACCCTGGTTACACATTACAGTCAACTGGGAAGTTTTTTAAAAACTACTGATGGCTGGTCCCACCCCTAGAAAATCTGGTTGAATGGATCTGTGTGGCAGCCAGGCATCCATGCGTCCCAAATGCTCCCCCAAGTGGCTCTAATGGGCAGAGCCACTGCCCTGCATGGTCTAGCCCTCCTGCCACCCTGCCCTGCTCACTCTGCTGGACCCTCACAACCTCTAGAGAGCATCGTCAAGTGTGTTCCCTTTAGGGCCTTTGCTGGAATACTTGGTCCCGGGCTGTCTACCTGGTTCCCACCCTCACATGTCATAGCTCACCCCTGGTCTCATCAAAGATGTCCCTGACCATGCTGCTGTGGCAGCCCCGACCCCACACCATCACATCCCCCCACCCTGCTTTATTTAGCATCATTGTACTTGTGACCCCCTTGATGTGCCTTGTGTTTATTTGGGTAATGTCTTTTCCCTGCCCTAGAATGTGAATTCTGTGAGTAGGGGGTCAGCTGTCTCATTCAGTGCTAAATCTTCAGTGCCTGGCACACAGTGGGTGCTTGATAAAAAATCTGTTGAAAGTAAAACCACCTCCACTGGCAGGTCTGAGCTTCTGGAAGGTAGGAGTTGAATGTCATGCATCTTGGTGCCCTAGTGTCCAGCACAGGGCCAGGCACGGAGGCTATGACCAATTCATGGTCCTAATGATTCACTCTGGAGACAAAGGCAATTGTGAGGGTGCTGTGAAATGTCACGAATGGAAGCAAAGGTCCAACCAGAGATGAAAGTGGGGAGATGAACCAAAAGGAGCCTCCATGGGCCAGCTCTGCCTGTGACCCAGGGCTCCCAAGGGGCTCCTTGCGAAGCATCTGTCCTGGTCTTTCCTTGTGTTTCCTCTCTGTACTGTCCACACCTCCCCCTCCATACTCCTTCCCCTCCTTGAAAGCTAGGGAGATTCTAATTTGCTGTGTGACCACCGCAGATGACTTAACCCCTGGAAGCCTCACTGTCTCATCTGCAAAGTGGGGAGAAAGGAATTAGTTGTGAGGGTCCCACCTAGGCACAGTGCCTGAGATCCAGCAGGGAGCTTAATAAAAAGATGGGCTCCCTCTAGTTTCCGATTCCAGTTCCCACCACATGTTTCCTGGTCTTTCTCACCAAGTACAAGTTGTTTGCCCCAGTTACGGTCCTACAGTTTAGTGTTTAGCTACCTACAAAAGAGGTGAGGAGGTCCAGTCTAGTGGAACTGGTGCTAGGCTGAGAATCGAGCCTGGCCTGCCTCTACTTCCATGACCTTGGGAGGCATCATCAAACTCCCAACACTGCCTCCCTCCTCTGGAAAGCAGCTACCTACCCCCTCACTTATGCCAGCAAATTGCAAAGTTCCTAAGCCAGGCATGAGGCCCCTGGACAGGTAAGGTCAGAGGTGTGGCTTGGGGCCTGGAATTCTGAGTGGTCTAGGGAGGCCAGAGAGTTGGAAAACAGAGCAGAATTCTGAGAACTATGGGAGCTGTGTGTGACAGGCCCAGGTCCAAGGAGAGAAGCAGTCTGGGCACCAGCAGGAGGTACATTCAAGCAATTACTGTGGGGCCTGAATTACAGTGAAATCTGCGCCTTCCTCTTGCTGTCCCAGGTTTGGCGTCCCCCATGTCACTCTATTTTGATCCTCCCTCCCTCCCAGGAATTCAGGGAGTCATTTGGTGCTGGGAACACAGGGGTCAGCTGCCACGGCCACACCCCAGACCCCTGCACAGGACCCTCTCTTCACCCTCCTGGCCAGCCCCACCCACGTGCACCAACTTGGGCCAAGGCCAGGCCACAGATGAAACTCTCGGCCTGGCCTCCCCCGCCCACCCACAACCACCATTGGTGCTCCTCACCCCGAGGTGACTTCTGGTCTGAACTCAGCAGCATCTAGAATGCAGCAGGAGGGCTCCAGGCACCCCTCCCACAGCCCAGGGTAGGTTCAGAGATACACACAAACCAAACTCTCCCTTCACTTTATATACACACATACATACATACATAAAGGCAAGCCCCACCCACACTCATTAGGCTCCATCTTTGGCATCAATCTATCAAAATTAGCTTTTCTGCATGACACTGCTCAGTCCTTTCTGTACATGAATTAAATATATTATCTGTCTTTGTGCTGAGTCACAGGACATTCACAGTATGGGGTGGGGGAGAAGTGGAGGGCTGGGGGGCCCCAAGACTCTCCAGTACTCCTCAAGCTGGAGGAGTTGAGCTGGGCAGGGGTATGGGTAGAAAGGTGGGGCCTGGCCTCCCCTCGGCCTCTGTAATTCAAGGTCACCAACTGTGGAGAAGACCTCAGGAGCACAGAGGGGAGCCTTCTTCAGGGGCCATGGCTCCTCAGGCTTCCAGGATGTGGTGTCCTACCTTTCTTCTCTATCTCAGACTGTGGCATTTATACCTCCCTGTCATAACCAATCTGTGGGGAGGCAGGGGCAGGGGGAGGCTGGTACCAGGATCAGGTGAGCAGATGAGAAGGGCTGGGAAGGAGGATCAGGGAGGCTGTGCCTGCCCCAAGGAGCTGAGATTGGCTTGACACCAGTGTCAGGGTGACCCTGTGTATCTGGGGGCCGTCCCCAGGACCCTGACCCAGGCTGGCTAATCAGTGCTCAGGGATGATTAGATAAGCAGGAGCCACTCTCGGGAGGGGTGGACAGACAGGAGCTCCAAGGGCAGTGAACACTCTACCACCTGCCAATTTAAGGCAACTCTGTTCAGACTGGGGAGATGGGAGGGGGCTGGCTGAGGTGGCATTTGTGTAGCTGGCAGACCCAGGCCACCTCTGGACACAGCTGGGCATCTGCAGCAAACCAGCACTGCTCAGCCTTGGTTTGGGCCAGAGGGCATAGAGGGCCTCTGGCATGGAGGGGGAAGGAGAGCAGGGGATGGAAAAAGGAGGCGGGCTACTATTCCTTCTTTGCTGTGGGGACACCTGCCCCTCAGGTGGGGGTGGGCTTTGTCACACAGGTGAGAACTCAAGATCATGGGATCCCAGGCAAGGTGCTGTTCTCAAAGGGGAAAAAGGTGAAAAACATGTATGGGCTTCAAGGGGCCAAATGGGGAGGTTCTGTAAGATAAGCAGGTAGTAGGGGGAGGCATGTTGGAACCTGTGTCCAGGGCACAGCACCCAGTCTGGTGCCCAAATTTTCCTGTCCATGTGCATCTCACATTGGTGCCTGAACACTTCAGGGTCGATGAGAGTCCAAGTTCCCTCCCTGCCCCCTCACTCTCTCTCAGGGAACCAGCTCATGCCCAGCCCAGTGATGGAGGGGTTGGAGTCCAGGTGAAGGCCACAGGGGAGGCAAGTGGGAAGCAGAGAGAAGAAACAGCCGTGGCCAGCAGGGCTGCCAAACAGTCTTCTGGGTCCACAGTAAGCCCTCGTGCCTCAGTCCTCAAAGGACCACACAGGCCCCATCCTACCCAAATCTGTGCTCGATGTGACCACGAGTCCCTCAGGCTGTAGCAGGGTGGCCACAGCTCAGAAGATGCTCTGCCGCCGGCTCTTCCCTCGTCCTAGAGAATGGAGGGGAGGAATGTGGGGCTGCAGGGAGGAGGCTAAGGCTAAGGGTGTCCGAGATCAGCAGGGATAGCTGTCCTTGGCTCTGACAGAGCCAGCAAGGACATGTGCTCAGGAGCCAGTCAGCCCTGGAATCAAATCCCATCTCTGCTACCTACTAGCTGCATGGACTTATGACTTAACTCCCAGAGCTTAGTTTCATTGAGTGTGAAATGGAGCACATTAACAGTACCCACTTCAAGGGGTGCTTCAAGGATTAGAGGAGATGAAGGATGGAGAGTACTTGTTATATCCAAGGCCATGAGCTATTATTCTAGGGACAAAGTACTATTCTCCCAGGATGGAGTTGGGTAGAGAGCTCAGGTGGGGGTTAAGGAGGGAGGAACTGGACAAAGAAGCCTGGGCAGGAGAAATCAACCCCTTCCCTGGCCTCCATGGGCTCCTGAAGGGTCACTAGTGTTGGGGGTGCCCATGGGAGAGCCCATTGGGGAGGAATTAATAGCCTTCCCTGGCTTCTTCTAATAACGGGAGGGAATTGGGGAGGCGCAAGCCCCTACCTGGCTGCTGGAAGGCCAAGCCTCGGTAGCCTGGGTCCTTCTGCAGCTGGATCTCCTTCAGGGAGAAGATGGAGGCAGCTGGGGTGAGAGAAGAACGAGACAGCAAGAGGGCTGTGTGTAGCTAGGAGGACCAAGCTGGGCCCTTCTGGCAGCATCTCATTTCTGCAGAGTCTGTCCCCTTAGTTCTGAGTAAGAACTCAAGGAGGGTATGCCTTGTACCCAAGATTGCTCAGCTGGATCTGGGGCCTCTGGGCTCTTTGTTCTAGCTCTTCTGCCCACACCTACCACCCGCTTTCCTTGAAACTCACTGTCTTCAAGCTGGTGCACACGCTCTCCCAAAGACCGGAAGTAGGGGTGACTCAGGGCAGCCTCTGCAGACATGCGACTCTTGGATTCATACTGAAAGACACAGGGCAAGCTGTTGGCCCTGGCTAGGGGCCAGGGATGCTTCTGGACAACATGACTCCTATGCTAGGTTAGATGGCCAAGGTGGGAGGGACGGAATCTAACAGGAGAAGCCCTGGAGGTCAGGTGCCAGCCCCATTAGGCAGTTTCAGGGTCCAAGCTCCCAGATCTCCACCAAACAGGAAAAGCTAGAAATCACTTCCACCAGGACTGGAAATACAGATGCTAAAGCCACCATGTTCAAAACATGATAGTGGTAATATTAACATATAATACCAATAGCTACCCTTTTTGTATGCATTTCAAGACAGGCATCACAGTATGTTTCATAATCTCAATTTATCCTCACAACCATTTTATAAAATATGAATTGTTAATTCCATTTCACAGTTGAGGAAGTGAGGCACAGAAGAGTTCCGTAACCAGCCCAAAGCTACACAGCTAGTAAGTGGGTCTGAACCAGAGTTGAGGTCCAAAGCCCACAGATCCCAAGGTTGTGTAGGGGAAGGCAGCACACTGGCTTTGAGGGTGGAGAGTTCAGGGGAGATGTTTCAAAGGTTTGGGAGCAGGGGAGCCACAGAAGTTAGGGTAGGCCCGGATTGGGGTATGGGGGCTCTAGCTCTCTTTAGTTGCCTCTCCCCTGTTCCCGTTTGGAGGACACTCACCAGGAGGAGGCCAGTCAGAAGGCTGATGCCATCAGTATCCAACCTGCAAGAAGAAGGCGCTGACACCGGCTCTGTTGGGGGGTGGCGGGGGAGGAGGCCACCTCCTGGGGGAAGAGCTGGACCCCAGCAGGTGGTGGCAACCCAGCAGAAGGCGGACCCCAGCAGCAGGCGCGGTGCGGTGCGCGGAGCCAGGGGCTACCTGGGGGCGTGGCTGATGAGAGGCTGCGGGAGGTACCGGGGGAAGTTGTAGGCGCGGAACTCAGAGAGGCCGGTCACGCCGGGCCACGTCTCTTCAGTAGGGGTCCCTGAGGAGACGATAAGGAGTGGGGAGGGGCCCGAGCCAAGGCAGACTTGGCGGGGGTGCACTATAGTAACTGGGGTCAAAGACTGGCCCAGGCCCCAGGGGTTCCCGCCCTGTTGGGAACCGGCTGAGCCCTTTGCCGAGAGCGTTTAGGCACGGGCTAGACGGAGTTTTGGCGCCCCTGGTGGTGACAGGGAGGGACGGGAGGGGACTGACCCAGGAGGCGGAAGATGAGGTGCAGCTCCTCCTTGACCGTGGAGCCAGGGAACAGGGGCCTCCCCGTGGCCATCTCGTAGTGGATGCAGCCCACGCCCCTGCAGGGAGCAAGGGGCAGTGGCGGCGTCAGGTGGGGGTGGCCGCCCTTCCTGGGGCTGCTCCACCAGGGTTTCCATGATGCCCTGCCACAGGTGGCTGGAACCTTCATGGCTCTGGGGTGGGGAGCTGGCCCAGGGCAGTGGAGGCTCCTAGAACCGCCCAGCCCCCACTACGGCCCCTCTCTGGGGGCTTCCCTGGGCTCTAGGAAGCCATGACCTCTCCCCTTTCACTCTGTGAGGTCTGGGTCTGCATAGCCAGCGCCCATGTGGCAATTCTTTCAGCAGTGTTGTCTCAAACTCTTTCCATGTGTGCCCCCACTGGAAGAGAGAAGTACAGAAGTCCATTCTCCTAGAGAACACTGGGCTTAGACACAGCAGCCATTCATCAAAACCTATGCTTTAGTCTTAAATTTGGGCTTTTTTATACCACATTATGTAATTGTTGAATGTAACATAAAAATAATGTTTCCCTTCCAAAATTTTCAAACTGATGCTTGGGGAAGATTCATATTTACTGTAGGGGCCCTCCTGTTCCCCCTGGAGCTCTGGTAACCACCCTGGAGGTGTTCCCTGGGGATGTCTTTGAGAAGCAGCTTTGGATGGCATTTAAGCTGGGGAACCTCAATCCATTTTAGACTTAATTTTTTATTTAATTTAATTAATTTATTTATTTTAGAGACAGAGTCTCATTTTGTCGCCCTTGGTTAGAGTGCCACGGCATCACAGCTTACAGCAACCTCCAGCTCCTGGGCTTAGGTAATTCTCTTGTCTCAGCCTCCAGAGCAGCTGGGACCACAGGCGCCTGCCACAACGCCTTGCTATTTTTTTGTTGCAGTTTTGGCTGAGGCCGGGTTCAAACCCGCCACCCTCAGTATATGGGGCCAGCACCCTACTCACAGAGGCACAGGCGCCGCCCAGATTTATATTTTTTTTCAGTAGGATGCCATATGACTTTTGGTCAAAGGAGATTAGGTGGCTCTTCCCAGAGGCCCTTGGGGGCAGCAAAAAAGTCTGAAAAACCAGACAGACCCTTCCTTCTCCCACTGGTCCCCACAGTGCTCACTCACCACATGTCTATGGGGGTAGAGTACTCAGTGGATCCCAGCAGCACATCAGGGGGCCTGTACCACAGGGTCACCACCTCATTGGAATAGGTCTTTGTGGGCACTGACTTGGCCCGGGCCAGTCCTAGGGACAGATGTGTCACTGAACTTCTTTCTGTCTACAGGTGCTGCAGGGTCAACCGAGAAGCCCTCCCCCACTTCACCCTGCTTGCGTCAGATACCCTCTCTAGTACTGGCCTCACCAAAGTCAGCCAGCTTCAGTTCCCCCCTCTCATTGATGAGCAGGTTCTGGGGTTTAAGGTCCCGGTGCAGGATCTTGCGGCGGTGACAGTAGGCAAGGCCCCGGAGCAGCTGGAACATGAAAATCTGGGGAAACGAGGAAGAGAAAGGTGAAGAGGGAGGTGGCCCTGAGCCTCTGCCCCAAGGCTGGTATGGGAATGGGGCCAGGGACCTGAAGGGTCAGCATAGCCCCTGGCTCTCTGCCCAGCCTGCAGCCCGGTCATAGGCCCTGTTACACCAAGAGTCCCACCCAGAGGGGAGGGTGCCAGGTGTGGAGGAGGCAGTGGGTGTGCAGAAGGCCAGAAAGTCTTCTAGGCAGGAGGCGTGGTAAGAGGCACAGTGTGAGGAAGGCCACTGGGTGCAGGGAAGGTATGTGCATGATTCTTTAATAAACACCAGAAGAGGCCACCCATCCCTCTGAGCTTGCCCAAAGCCTCCTTCGTTCTGGCAGGCAGCTCATGTTCTCATTTGATTGACAGAGAAACTGTTGCTCAGTTAGGAAAGGGGGTTTACCCTAACAGCTAGATGGTAGCAGAGTCTGTGTGTCTGTGTGCCTGGGCAGTGCAGGGTAAGGTGCTCAGCCCAGGTCCTAGAGTCACTGAATGGCAGTGCCCTTTCCCTCCATCCTACATTGGAAGATCTGAGCAACCCTCACAGCCAGGCGCTAGTAGCAAAAGTGGGTTCCCACCCCGGGCCTCAGGAAAGGGGGTGCCACAATAGGAGGGAGTCCCTGCCACTGAGGCCCTCACCTTGACATTGTGCATGCTCATGAGATTTCCACAGTGGTCCAAGTACTGCTTCAGGTCACTGTCCTGTAACACAGAGCCTGGCTCAGTCCCACCCTAGCCTGAGCCCTGGACAGAAGCCCGGACCTAGGCTGAGGAGGAAGGCCCTCCCTGAGCAGGGCTCAAGCCCATTAGTGGGACAAGACCCTGGCTCTAAGCCACCTAAGCCTGAGCTCTTAGCCCATCCTACATGGTAGCATCTGAGAACCTAATTCTAGAACATGGCCCAGGCCACCCAGACCCCACCTCTCCTACTCCCTCAGGCCCCTACTCTCCCATCCCCACTGCAAGGGAGAGAGGCTGCCAGCCCCAGCCCAGCTCACCAGGTACTCAAACACCAGGGTGAGGGACCGTTCTGTATGGATGAGGTCGTGCAAGGTCACGATATTGGCGTGCTTCAGATTCTTCAGGAGAGACACTGTGGGGAGATGGCCCACCTGGGTCCCTGGGTCCCCAATTTCCCTCTTACCCTCTCTTCTGGGGGTCAGCCACAGGAAGGCCCATTGCAGCAATTATGCTCCATCCCAGGCTCCCACTGGGGCCCAGGCTGATGAACCCCTTCCCCAGATGCCCCAAGGGGGAGTTCAGGACCCAGGACGCTGTACCCTCTCGGATGGCAGTGCAGGGCGCCCCCTCCTCATGCTCCAGCCGGATCTCCTTCAGGGCCACGAGGTTCTCCGTCAGTTTGCTCCGCCCTTTGAAGACTGTGGCATAGGTGCCCTGGGATGAAGAGCCCCATTGGCCTTGGGCACGTTCAGGTCCTGTTGTTCTCCGTCCAGTGCCTCCCTTTTGTGCCTCTGTTTGGGCTATGACTTGGGCCTCGGCGCCTTTTCTCCCTTCACTGACAAGCTGTGTTTCCTCCAAAGCCCACTTCTCTCTTTGGGAAGTTCCTGGGACAACTTCCCAGTCAGAATGAACTGCTCCCTCCTCTACCGCCCCAGCAAGCTAGGTGCCCCTCTGTTGTAACACCAGTCTTGCTCTTCCTTATCCTGTGCTATATTTATATGTAGGTCTACTCTCTGGGCTCCTTGAGGGAAAGGGCTGTGTCTTCCCCCTCTCTGCAAACCTCACCCATCTCAGGCCTCTAATACAAAGCCAGACACAGTGATGATAGAATTACTGTGTGCTACGCGTGTCTGCGTGCTGTACGTAAATGCATTCTAGTAACCTGTTCAATCCTCACAACTCTATGAGGCAGAACAAATACTACCTTTGTTTAACAAAGGAAGAAACTGAGGCACAGAGAAAGGTTGTGTAATTCAACAAAGGTCACAGAGTTAGTACATGGTGGAGTTGGGATTTAAACCCAGGTAAGAAGTACTTATAGGAAGAAAAGACTAGATTCTGCCCGGAGCCCATGGGCTCCCCTATCCTTATGCCCTGGTTCAGCATCTGGGCCTACCTCAACACCTGCCAAGACTGGGCCAGGCTGTATGGCCAAGATTGTGCACCTCTATGGTGCAGGGGCCATGAGAGGGTACCTCAGGGAGGGTCCAGGGGCCCTGCCCCTCCTCCAAACACCCTGCCTGGCTGTCCCCAGACCAAACCCAGCCTCTTACCTCCCCCAGTTTGTCCAGTTTCACGTATGTTTCCAGTTTCCCAAAGCCGATATCTGACTGAGGAGAGACAGGGTGCCCTGAGCTTGAAGGCCCAGCAGCTCCACAGACACAACCCTTCCCCCACCCTCAGCGGGAGTGGGGAGGCATTGAGACTCATCCTGAAGAGGGGTCCTTCCTCTTCTCCTTTCCCCTTTATCCCTGTGATAAAGGAAGGAGCTCCTGAAAGTGAGTTTCTTCTTCGTAGGACAGCCAAGGGTATACAGCCCAGAGCTGTGGCACCCGGGATGGCTTGTTGCACAGCCTGGTCCCCAGTCATCTATCTTAGACTGCTAGCCCCTCCAGGGCAGGTGCTGTTCCTTTTTATCCATTGTACCTTGAGTGTCCACTTCAGAACCCACCTCCCCGATAGTCTCTTTCATGAGTATGCTTCTTCTAGCTCAGGTGTACCCAACTCTTAACAAGACAGTTTCCTAGACACACGCACCCAGAGAGGCTGATTCTCTACGTGTCTGGGGTGGGGCCCAGAGTCTGTTTTGAAAGATGCTCCCAAACTACTCTGACAGGCAGCTAGGACTGGAAGAACATGATAGGTGATCTACTGATCTTAACCAGGTGGAGACCCTGCATTACCTCAGCTCCAGCCTAGATGGGACCCTTCTGCCCACTGCTGCCCCTAGTGAATGATGTTGCTAGGAGCTGAATCCACTGAGGCCAGCAGGTGGCGCCAGAGGCCCAGTAATCTTCCTGGAAACCCCTTCCTGGACATTGGAGGATGTGTTGGGACAGGTAAAGCCAGGACTGATGTGTCCCACTGGAAAGGGGGCATCCTACCCTCATGTCCTCTGACCCTCTTGGGACTTACCAGGGAGGCACGTCGGGACATGCGGCTGAGTGGCTTGGGAAGGTCTGGGTTCTCCAGCTGTAGCTTCTGCAGGAATTCCTGGGGCAGGCGGATATCCATGGGCAGAGAGAGCCTCTTGCTGATGTCCTGTGGTGACCAGGACGAGATGGGGACACCCTGTTGGCTCCAAGGTAGGTAGACCTGTGGGGCTCTTGCCTCTCACTCTAGACCTAGCTTTCCCTGTAGAACAACCACAGCAGGGCCAAACCACAGGCTGTGACCCCAGGCTCACAGCTGCTTCAAGGCTGTGCTCAGAGACATACATGAACACCCAGGGGTGGCTGTGTGACCTTAGGAGGTTCCTTCCCCTCTTTGGGCCACAGTGTCTCCACCTGTACAACATAAATCTCATGCCCTCACAGATACTGTGATTCTGTGAGCATGTTTTTATACACTTACTTATCTAGCTTTTGCTGAGTTTCAAGCACTTGGCATAAACTAACTCTTTTCATCCTCATGATGACTATTTTAAAGTCAAAGGACTAGAAGGAGGTTTGACCTGTTTGATACACACAGGTTGAGTAACTTGCTCAAAGGCACAGAGCCAATTAATGGCAGAGCTGGAATCTGAGCCCATGAAGTCTGGCTCCAAGGTAACTACCCTCTGTGTGTACATTTGCCAGTGGGCCCTACCACCCTCTGAGGACAGAGCCTGCAGTCCCTCACCTCCATGGAGAAGCGCCGTTGGTTCTGCCGTCGACGGTACTGCATACCAGGGGACAGCTGCCCTGGCTCCTCCCCGCTGTCTGTGGGGGAAAAGGTGCTGGGCTCCAGCTGGGGGTCTCTGCCAAGAGGACCGAGCTGCAGGTCTGAGAAGGACAGGCATCAGCTCCCCTCCCTGCCTCTCTGCCCCAAGGGAGAGGTGGGCAGCCTGCTCCCCCATCTGTCCCCCTCCAAGGCCAATGGGGAAGGGGCCAGGAGGAATGTTGGGGTGGGAGAGGCCTGGGGCAGGCTCAGACCCCTCACCCTCGTTCCTCCGGTTGTGGAGCTGGTTGAACTGCTCTGTGAATTCAGCCAAGGACTCCTCAATGGTCTCAGTGCGGGGCACAGACAGGGAGAAACGGCGCTTGAAGTTCTTCATCTTGTTCATGCTTGTCAAGGACTAGGTATCCAGGTCCTGAGACAGGCAGAAGGTATGACAACAGCAGGTGAGAAGAACAAGGCCATGGGTCCCATTCTCCACCCTCTGGGAATTCAGCTCATCTTCCCACCAAGCTCTGTGGCCCTGCATGCCACCAGGGCCCAAGGCTGGGTCTTCTCCTCCAAAGTTCAAGCCCCCCAGCATAGGTCCTGTTTCTCTTCTACCCCCTGACTCCTGGCACTAAGCCTCCCCCCAGATTCCCTTCCCTGGGGAGTCACAATACGTACTAACTATTCCAGCAAAGTACTGATCATCATAGTGGGTACAATGTGCAAAGAGGATGCTGGAGGCCTCTCAGACATTACATTAACTCTTTAGTTGCTGGAGGTCTAGAGAGGTCTAGGGAAAGAGTGGCAGGGTGGGGGTTCCAGAGCCAGGTAGTCCTCTAGCCAGCAGCTCTTTACCAACTTGTGTGCAAGTACTTGAATGTGTCAGCAGCCACTAAGCCTTACTGATCAAGGCCCACGTGCTGAACATTAGCTTGGCTTACACCCTTGGGACACAATCTGGCCCAAACTCCTTTTCACCCTGATACTGACACCTGAAATTCCTCTTTCTGGCTTGGCCTGGGTCCCCAGAAGTCAGAAGAAGAGAAAAGGGATGAGAGGGGGAAGTGTGCATGGGAACTAGCCTAGCTGCCCTCCTCTCCAGCTGAAATATGGGAGGTGAGGAACAGTGAAAGTTTCTCAGGAGACCTGAGCCCTTCCAGCAGGCAGGCAGGCAGGCAGGCAGGCAAGGTGTCCTCTGCTGCAAACACTGCGAACGAGAGGGCTGAACTGCCCTGCTCACCCCCAGGGCCCCTGCCCACACCGAAAAGGTTTTGTCCACCAGCAACTCAGCTCCCCTTCCTTCTGAATGAGAGGACACCCTGCTGGCCCTAATGATATCTGTGCAACTGCTCCTCACAGACCCTCTCTTCTCTTTCATGCTCTGAAAACCCAGAGTGGGGCCATCCTGCACCCCCACCCCCCTCCAGGTTTCATAGGTACTCTGTGCAGCTTCCTCCTTACCCTGCTCTGCCCCTGGCTGTAGTTGGGGGGCAGGACTGCCCATACCCCCTAAGGCACCCAGCACCAGCACAATAATGGGAGGGGGCCACATGGCACCTCCCCCAGTTACCCGCACACAAGGCACAGCCCACTCCTGGAGGATGCTGTCTGCCCTGCCACTGGCTAGTACCTAGTTGCCAAGGCAACCAGGCCCTTCCTGAATCCTCCTGGTTTAAGGGATTATGAGTCAGTAACATGTTTGTTTTGCTTAATGATCATATCCTTTTGTCCTTAGCCTGCCTGGAAAGGGTCCTCTCCCCAGTGCTGCAGGCTCCAAGCTACCCCCAAATCCAGTCAGTTGTGGCCCTCTAACTCTCCCAAGCCCAGAGACGGCAAGGCTAGGCCCATCTTCATCTGCTGGTAAGTCTCAGAGTAGAGGCCTCAGTCTGCACTGCCAGCTGGACCCATCTCTTGTCAGCAGGCTCTGAAGTCTCATTCAGTTCAACAAGAGTGAGCACCTACTATGTGCCAGTGTCATGCTAGGCACTAAGGCTAGAGAGGCAAGTATGGTCCTTATTCTCAAGGCACTCAGCGGCTGCTGGTTCCTGCTTTGATGAGAAGGTAGCTGACAGCACCTCTCCCAGGGTCCTTGGCATTGCCTACCAGCCTTGGTCTTTCCTGATTCTCCATCCCTAAACATCCTTGCCAGCCAACCTCAGCCCATCCTTTGTGGCTCTGTTCAACATTTCAGGCCTGTTGTCTGCAGGCCTGTCACAAACAGGAAGCTCCCAGAGGGCAGCCACCCTGCCAAATACTCTAGTGTACAGCATCCTGCCAACAGGGCCCATACTGGAGGCCTCAAGATGGTAATGAGTTGATAAGAGTTCCAACGACAAGAGGACCCAGTCGCTCCCTACCTGGTGACTCACATTTCTCAGAATGAAAGAGCAGAGATATCCCCCTTATACAGATCAATGGTTTTCAAAAATGACTGAAAATCAGAATCCCCAGGAGCACTGTAAAAATTCAAATTCCTATGCCTCACCCTGATTCTGAAACTGAGGATCTCAGGATGGTGCATAGGAAGACACATTTTTAAAACGTATCTCCAATAATTTGCACATGGAGCCATGATTGGAAAGCATCCAAGGTCCAGAGAAGGGATGATGATCTGCCCAGGTTACCAGACTGCCCTACTGTGCTGGGGAGGTGGCTACACTTCTCCTGAGTGAAGCAAGAGATTCCCCCGTCCACACACTCATACACAGGAGAGGAAATGTCTCTGGCCTGCCAATGGGAACATGCACATCTGTACTGCACACGCTGCTACCCTAGCAGCGGGGGATAGCTGGGGGTCGGGGGAGGCAGGCACTTCTTTTTCTGCAGCCTGTTTGAGGTGGGCAGGAGAGACCGGCCACACCCCTTTCTAAAAACAGGGCTTCCCCATAAAACTGTCATGGCAGTCTGGGATTTATGGGATGGCACAGAGTTCCTGGCTCAGGAATCTAACAGTAGCCACCATAAATCTCACACCTTTGCCATTGCTTGTGGGGGAAGGGGAGGGGAGCTCATGAACAATCTTCTGAGAGAAAGGCCCCCAATTTCTGCAACAGAGGAAAACCAGCCCTGAGTCACACCTGCTCTCCCCATGGTTCAGTTAGGAGCAAGAAGCCATCAGCTTGTACTTGGGGTGGCGTGGTGGGTGGACAGAGAGCCAGAGAGAGGGTGAAACTAGGGGAGCAGGCCCGAGCAAGAGTGTGAGGCCAGGCGACAGAGGGATGGGGACCAGCTGTTGTCTACCAGCAGGAGATGAGACCCAGAGGAAGTGGCTGTCACAGCGGGAAGTTTGGAGGTCAAATGTAGGGACAGACTTCCTGATGGTGACAGGGGAGCAGGCGGTGGGGGTAGTAACCATAGCACAGAGTGGATGCCTCTCTCTGCTGGGGACAATTGGGGCATTGAACCCGGCAGGGTCTTGGGTGTGACAGGGTAGACTGGGCAGTGAATAGTCTGTTGTTCCCTAGGTCAAGAAACAAGATGCCTCTGTCACTTTTCCCTTGGGAAAGTCAGCTCCTCAATTTGGGGGTCAAGGGGGAAGGGAGACAGGAAAAAAGCCTGTCACCTTGGTGCTTTCTGCCCCTCACCCCCAATGAGGGACAGAAGGGCTCAGTGTGACCCAGCCTGAGGCCAATCCAGGGCCAGACACAGTGTTGCCTTTGTCCTCAGGCCAGGGAGCCATCTGGGGCTGTCCCCGTGCAACTGGTGCCAGGGGAAGAGGGCAGTAGGCATCCAGGGATGCTGGCCTGGCAGGGGTGGGGTGGGGGAGGTTGAAGGAGCAGAATCCTCCTGAGGAGCTGCTGGGGCATGTGGACCCCCAACCAGCCTTTTCTCCTGCCTTCCTGCCCAGGTAAGTCAGTGAAGCAATCAGCCTGCTTCCGGTCACTTCCTCCTAGGCACACACCAGCCCGCCCAGAACTTCCTGCTGGTGCCAGAGAAGCGGGTACCACAGAAGTAGGAAGGAGGAGTCAGGCTGGAGGAAACCTAGCACTTGCCAGAGGCCACTGTGCACCCAGCGAAAAAAGGCTGGACTCCCAAAATGCGAGCAGGGGCAGGCGTCTCCAGAGCCTCCATTCCCATCCTTTGCTTGGTGAGGACGCTGAGGCTCTGAGAGGGGAACTGACTGCTCAAAATCACACAGCAGTTCCTGGTTGTTGCCAAGAGCACAAACTGGAACCATATTGCTCCTTTCTTCTGACTGGAGCCCTCCCCACCCCACCTGCTCCCTGTGGCCTAGGGTTTGAGTGCTGTTTTCTCCTCCAGGTCTCCACTGTTCCTACTCTGAATTAAAAGCCAGATAAACTCAGGTTCAAACTCTGATGATACCAGCCACGCCCGAGGGCGTGGCTCTATGCATTCATTCAATTACTGGACATCTATGACCAGTAATGCCAGGCATCCTGAGAATTCACAGGTGAGTGAAACAGGTATGATCACTAATTCCTGCCCTCGTACACTCTAATGGGGGCAGGGAGAGTGCAGACAATAAAATAAAATACACAGTATGGAAGACGGTGACAAGTGCAATGATGGGAAATCAAGCAGGGAAGAGGGACAGTGCAAGAGGGGCTGGGTTGCGAGTTTAAGTGGGGCAGTCAGGAAAAATCCAGAGTGGGCACAGGTGAGAGAGCTAGTCATGCAGAATCCGGACAAGCAGGTCAGTAAGAGAGCAGCGGATACACAGGTCCTAGGAAGAAGTGAGTCCAATATGTTCTAGACATGGCAGGTGGCCTGAGAGGAGGCCAGAGGGCAGCATGGCACAACTGCATTGGGCTGAGTTGGACCTCATGGGGCCTTGTGGAGAGCAAGAGGGTTGGAGGGTCATGGAGCAGACGCATGACATGAGCCCACTGAGATCTTGATGGCTGCTGTGTAGAGAATATACTGTGTGAGCGAAGGGAGAGGCAGAGGGCCCACCAGGAGCCTGCCACAGCAGCCCTGGCAGTGATGGTGGTGAGAACTGGTTGGATCTGGAATATATTTTGAAGGTGAAACCAAAGGGATTTACAGATAGATCATTTCTGGAAGGGGAGGGGTGAGAAGGAGGCAAGCATGACCTTGCGGGGTTTTGGCCAAGCAGCTGAGAGGATGGAGCAGTCACTCAAGGAGATGAGGAATTCTGCGAGTGGAGGTTTTGGTGGGAAGACCAGGAGCTGAGATTTGGGCAGGTAAAGTTTCCAATGTCCAACAGCATCTGAGCAAGCCAACACAGCACAGCGCTGGTACAAGGAAGACGTCCAGTAAATGTTGGCTCTCTTCTCTCAAGCTCCTGCTCAGACAAAAAGATATTTCAGAAAAGAAGCCCCACGTAATTGTCATCAAACATTCCTTACAGACTTCCTTGTGGTAAGGAGATTTGAGACCCAGGATGGAAGTGGGCAGGAGGCAGAAGCATGGTCACTCATCAGTAGTCCTGAACTACTGGCCTTAGGTAGGGGTGGGGCAGTCAAGGGGGGTGGGGCCCCACTACTCAAGACAACTCTGCAGGGCCACATAGGTGGGGCTACTGCGAGGCAGGGGAGCCCAGCTCCCATCCCCCAACTCAGGGGGAAGAAAGCTCCATAGAGCCAGCCATGATGGCCTTGGATGCTCAGCCTACTGTCCCCCACCTCTGGGCCAACCTGTGCCAGGCCCTAGACCTAAGTGAACCCTGGAAGACTCTGACTTGGAGGCCCTGGAGGCAGAGAAGGAGGTTGGCAGAACATTGAGGGAACCTGGGAAGGGGACTCTACCTCCCGCAAGTTCTGACTGCAGCCTGGGGCAGAGAGAGCAGAAGGGTCATTTCTTAATGAGAGACCAGGGGCCAGGCTTGAAGACTCCTCTCAGCAAAGCCCTTCAAGATGCCCCTTTGCCTTCCTCTTGCATAAAGCCCCACTTTCCCAGTCTGCGCCCAAGGCCCTTCAAGATCTAGGGCCCTTTCCTCTCTGGCTATACCTTTCCTCACCCCCTCCACATTGACTGTGTTCCAGGCAAGCCTCTCACATGCTGTTCAGGTCTCTTGAGTCTACAAAAGCTTCTCTGACCCCTCATGACCACCAGGTGCCCCTCCTCTGATAGGCGTGACTTTTCACCTGTCTCCCCCACCAGGGACCATGCTTTGGTCCCTGTGCCTAGTGCTGTTGGCAGTAGCCAGCACGGGTCTGCTTGAAAAGCACGTATGGAGCGCCTGCTATGTTCCTGCCCCATGCTAAATGCTGCCTCAAGTATTTTTGTTTTGTTTTTTCTTCTTTTTGATCTTGGTCTCTGTGGGCCCAAGGGAAGAGATTGAGAAATGTAACTTGCAAGTGCCCACTTTCTGAAACCCAGGGCGTCTATCTAACCCTCAGCCCCAAAGACTGAGATGCCCCTGGTGAGATGCACCAGCCAGGACTGACACCCTCCGCCTCCCACTGCCTGCCCCCACCTCAGTTCCTCAGCCACTTTGGGCCTTGGGTGAGTTTCAAAGAACTAGAGGCCATGGCTGACCAAGTTTGCAGACGTCATCAGCTGGGACCTGGGACCTTGGAGACACTCCCTCCTCCCAGGGAGAACTGCCTGCAGGGAGCTTGTAGATACCATCTCTTCCTTCATCTTCTAAATGAGCTATGCTGCACAGCTGGAGGCTTTAGTTTCCTAAACCTGTGACAAACCTCAGGGGAAGACAGTCGGCCCTCGGCTTCCTGGGGCTCTGGCAGTAGCAGAAGCCTTGGAGCCCTTCTCACCGACCTCATCCTGCCCCAGCCTGGATGACAGAGGCTGTGGGCTTGAAACCCTTGGGTGGCCATACTGAGGACAGGCAGGCCTGCAGCCACCCTGCCAACGAACAGATGCTCCAGACAGTGACAGCTTGAAGAAGATTCCCACAGCCTGTTTGGAATGCAGGAAGTAGGGGGAGGGGGGCTTCTGGGAGCAAGCTGTGCAGACCTGCAGGAAGCCTGGTCAGGAGGCAGTCTGGGGGACTCAGGGTCACCCCTGTTCTGGACAAGTGCACCTCTGTTCCCTACAGTGTCTTACTCTGACCAGAGACAGTGAGGGCCACAAGCTGTCAGCCCTGCTCACCAAAACTCCCTACAGTTTGGTATCACGGAAGAAACCCCAATTACTAGAGCTGTGACCTGGGAAGACACCCCAAGCTTCAGTTTCCTTGCTGCTAAACGGGAACAATTTTTCACTTCCAGTTCAGCTGCTATCAGGCTGCTAGATTTAACTTTCTCAGCTGCTTTCTGACGATGTCTCACTTGTTTAAAATCCTTCCAATTTAACACTGCCCTTAGTCTGAACTCTAGGGCCCAGGAGACCAGGTGTCTTGTGTCTGGACCCCCATCTCCTTCTTAAGTATCCTCTCTCACCCCACTCCACAGGATCCTGTTTCATGGAACATACCTGGCACTCCCAGCGCAAACCCCAGGGCTCTGCACATGCCGTTCATCTGGCCTGGGATGCCCCTTCTCAATTTTTCTCTTGGTAAAACCACTCCCAAACTCAACTCCAGTGTCACTTCCCCTGGGAAGTCATGCATGAATGACCACGCCTCCTTCCTCTCGGTAAAACCAGGTGGTTCCTCCTTGTCACTTCCACAGCAGCCTGTGCACACTGTGATGTCCTTCAGGACCAGAACGGGGTCTTAATGTTTTTCTCTAGTGTCTTACATAGTGTAAGGAACCCACTAGGTACACAAGGTTTGTGAGATGAATGACCAGTGACTGGAAGAAACTGTTGAGGGCTGTATCATGACTTGTTTAAGTCTCTTTCCTCTAAAGATACACAAACATTAGATCCCTCAAGGACAAAGACACTATCTTAGTCATGTTTAAGCTCTAGGACACACTGCCATATGCAATAAATGTTGATTCCTCTACTACTTTCAGGAGACTGGGGACGTGTTTCTAGGTGCATCTTCTCCTCACTAGGCCAGCTCCAGCGCAGTTAGGACTTGAGCATAGCTGATCCTGACCTCATTATGGCACCCTAGAGCAAGCCTAGGTTGTCTAGTCAACTAGCCCTAGACACCCTGGGACATTTCTTCTCAGCTCTCTTGGGTCTCAGACAGAATTGGAATGCGGGGGTTGGTACCCCCAGGTAAATGGGCTGGAGACTAGGGGGAAGCCAGGCAAGTGCCACTCATGGCCAAGGCTCAAGTCAGGCATGACCATGACCTCTTCCATGGTGCCCCTCTTGTTTCCTCCAGCCTGGAACTCCATTTTCCACAGTTGAGTGAGGGTCATTCTTCTGTGCTTCTCATACTATAACTGTTTACCCATCTGTTTCCCTAGTTTGCCCATGAGCTTACTAAGGGCAAGGGCCGAGTCTGACTTATCATTACACCCCCAGAGCCTGACCCAGGGCCTGGTACAGAGTGAGCCTTGGAATGACCAGTGAAGAATGCAAGAAAGCTGGACTCAAGGCCTCAGCTAAAACTGAACCCTCCTCCCCCAGCCAGCTCATGGTCTGATGGGGAGGGGGGAGGGCTGTGGCAGAGGAGGAAGCTTCAGGCCCAGCAGCAACTCCCCAGGTGAGGTCTGTGGAGATCTCTGGGCTAGAATGAGAAAAACCCTAATAAGAAGTTGTAACCCAACATATGTTGAACTAGGGTCTCGAGGGCTTGTGGGAAAGGGGTTAACAGGGACTTGGGGCCCTCTGCCCGGGCTCCTGTCACTCAGGGTAGATTCCCTAGGCCTCACAGGGCAGGGGCACTACCAGGTTCAGACTCTGGCCTTGACCTCTACAGCTGACCCCTCCTGACCACTCATTACTTTCCTTCTCACCCCTCTATGTGACCCCACATCAGTCCACTGACGTCCATTCTGCTGCTCTCCGGCCTCCTGATGCTCAAGGAATAGAGGCCAGATAGCATCTTCTGGTATTTTCTTTCTGATTCTTTTTTTAGGGATCCAGCCAAAGCTGGTCTACAATCTTTGAGGAGACCCTGAATTTCCAGGTGATAAGATGGGGCAAGGTGTTCTTCTGTCATCTCTGGCTGTGGGTATACAGAACATCTCAGAGGCAGGAGTAAGGCGCCTCTATCTCTCACATCCTCCTGCCTCCAGACAAGGCAGCCCTCCCCACCTCTGTCAGCAGCCCCCTTTAAAGACTTTCAACAAAGGTCCTTCTTCTATTTTACTTTGCCTGGTATTTTCAAGATCCCACAGTTTGGGATCCACAGTGTGGAACCTTAGTTCTTCCCTAAATCTCAAAGGAAACAAGCTCCCATCTGTCTCTACTGTTTAAGACAGATGCTAATGTCTACCATGTTTTATACAATAAATCGGAGAAGAAATAAAGAGCATTAAGCTTACCCACCTTTTAGCCTTCCCTCAGCCAGATACAAGAAGCCAGCTTTCTTGGTGGCCTATCATTGAACCTTTATTCACATCTCCATTTCTCTCTCCATGCCCAACTTTAGCAACAGAACTGCCGAGGCCTTTTAAGCCCTAGGGTCCCTGGGGACGCCTCAGTCTTATGAGTTGGGGTGGGAGGAGGATTTCCCAGCATCTCTAAACCATTTTCCTATTTATACTCCATCCCCACCCATCTGGCCCACACTATCCCATGCCCATGCTCCGACAGGAACCCCAGGCCAATCTTCTCCAGCCTTTCTTGTTCCCATCTGAGTGCACCAAAAGAACAGCTTCATCGCCTCTCCAGGAGCAACTCCCCCAGGGTCCTCTGGCCAATGGATTGCCCCTCCTCTCCCTCTGATTCTGACTTTAGAAGAGGGTTTGGTTCCTGAGACTCCCTCCCAGCAGGCTGGGCCCAGGTGGCCACTGTGGCCTCCACAGCCTCCTTGGGGGAGCCTCTGAACAGCTCACCATTGTCCAACTATTCTCTAACTGTCCCACCAGGGTCACTCACTAATCTGAGTTCAGGAACCCTTGAGAGGAGAGGAGACACTGGTGTCTAATCATCAGTCACTCATTTGACAAGCACCTGCTTAGTGCTAGGCACTGTCCCAGCCTCTGTAACTCAGATGCTATCTCCTCAGCCTCCACAATAACTTGGCCCCCAGGGTCTCTTTCTCCCTGCTGGATCTGATAGACTCATTTCTCCTACCTGTCCATTGAATGACAACACAACCAGAGTTCCCTCTCTGGCCCCCTGCTCTTCCCCTCTATGCATGTTTCCTGGGTGACCTCATCCCTGCACATGATAGAAACCACTACCCACATGCTGATGACTCCCAGATCTACAGCTCTGAGCCCCTTCGCCTCAAATGCAAAGGTCCAACTGCTTGCGGCCCACCTCTGCCTGGATGCCCCCCAGTGGTTCAGTTCCACATTGTTTTTCTGTTTTAAGAGACAGGGTCATCTCACTCTGTTGGCCAGGCTAGGGTGTAGTGGTGCAATCACAGCTCACTGCAACCTCAAATTTCTGAGCTCAAGTGATCCTCCTGGCTCAGCCTTCGGAGTAGCTGGGACTATAGGCGTGCCACCATGCCAAGCTAATTTTTTTTTTCAATAGACATAAGGATCTCATTACAATGCCCAGGCTGGTCTGAACTCCTGGCCTAAAGGTATCCTTCTGCCTCAGCCTCTCATAGTGTTAGGATTACGGTGTGAGCCATCATGGCCAGTTGAGATGTATTTTTAAACGAAGACAGATGTGTACAATTTGTAAATGCTGTAAGTGTACAGGACATACATATAAGTGGCATATATACACATACAAATCCAAGTATACTGTATGTAATTTTGAAGGCAACAAGTCAAAATGAGAATAGTAACCATCCCTAGGTGGAAGAATTATGGGTAATTTTAATGCTTATCTGCATCTTCTGTTTCCATAATAAACATTTATTGCTTATGGAATAAGAAAACAACACTTCTTTTTAAATGAAAATACTGTTAAACTGGGATTCCAGAATGGTTTGGTGCAAGGCCTGAGAGACTATGATTATCTTGAGTGAGGGTCAGCAAATTTTTTCTGTTAGAAGCCAGACAGCCAATATTTTAGGCCTTGCAGGCCATGGTTTCTGCTGCAGCTGTGTGACTCTGCCCTTAAGATGTAAACTGGTGAGTCAGGCCACGTTCCTGTAAAACTTTACTAAAGACACTAAAATTTGAATTTTATATAATTTTTAAGTGTTACAAAATATTATTTTTTTCTTTTGACTTGTTTCCAAGCACTTAAAAAATGTAAAAACCATTCTTAGCTCAAGGGCCATACAAAAACAGGCAGGATTTGGCCACCAGCTGTGGTTTTCCAATCCCTGGCCTTGAACATCCAGTGCTTATGTGGCATTTGAATCCAGCATCCATGTCTTCGGGAGATACTTTTTCTCCTTCTACCAGACAGGGCAGAGGCTTTTTAGGGTTTCCTTGTCCATTTGAGCCATGGCAGGGACTGGGTACCCAGGCCTCAGCCGGGGGAAGCCTCTGGCTCTGATGTTTGGAGGAACAGAAGGCTGAGTCCCTCTTAGGGGGGACTTAGGACCTCAGACCACAGCTCACCTTGTTGGCAGGACTGGCAAAAGCTTGCACAAGCCAGTAGTCCCAGAGGGGGCTTTAGAAATCCCTTGGTTTTCTTTTTTTTTTTTTTTTTTTTTTTTGAGACAGAGCCTCAAGCTGTCCCCCCTGGGTAGAGTGCCGTGGCATTACAGCTCACAGCAACCTCCAACTCCTGGGCTCAAGCGAGTCTCCTGCCTCCGCCTCCCAAGTAGCTGGGACCACAGGCGCCCGCCACAACGCCCGGCTATTTTTTGGCTGCAGCCGTCATTGTTGTTTGGCGGGTCCGGGCTGGGGATTCGAACCCGCCACCTTTGGTGTACGTGGCTGGCGCCCTAGCCGGTTGAGCTATAGGCGCCGAGCCATATCCCTTGGTTTTCTAAAGGGACTACAAAACTCTAATTTCCTCTCCATTTTCAGGAAAAGAAAGCAAAACTCAGTAAGGAAAGTGACTTACCCAAGGCCTCGCAGGGTGATAGGGCAGAGCAGAGCTGAGATCACTCTGTGGGCTTGTGACTCTGAGCTCAATACCCTTTCTACTCCCCAAAGAAACAGATGTGGGACTTCCAGGGTCTACTCAGAGATGTCACTCCCTCTGCTGGGCACCACAGCCAGGAATATTGGTAGCCCACACAGGGGGAAGGAGCCATATCAGGTTTTGGCAACAGCACAGAACATGGCATCCAGCCCACCATGACAGGGGGCACTGCCAGCTGGGCTCTATGCCAGGATCAGGAAGGGGCTGATGAGGGGTCTGTGACCCCTTTCCTGGCCTCTTCTCATGTTCCTGGCCTCTTCTCATGTTCCTGGCATGGCTGGTCTGGGGACCCAGGAGTGCTTCTGTGGTTGAGTGATACCGTCCAGCACCAGCACAACACCCACCACCTACCTGCTTTCATGCAGGGGTCCTGCAGGACACAGAGAGGCCAGCCACAGCCCTCCTGGGCCTGCTCACCCTGCAAGGGTCTCTTTTGCTGGGTGTCTGGGGCCAGGGAAGAGATGAGGGTTTGGTTCCTAAGGATACTCCCCAGGCAGAAAAGGGCAAGGTGTGAAAGCTTTAATGAAGCAAGGTGTGAAAGTAGAAATCATAAGAGTTTTGCCAGAGTTCTCCTTGATGATGATAAAATGGAGACGGCATTCAGAATGAGAGAAGGCAGAAACATTTTAATAGAGTTCCCTTCCCAATTTGGGGCCGGAGCCCTGACATCTGCAGGGATCCTGACTTAAGAAAAAAGTACCAAGTAGAGGCCAAAGGTGCTGAGAACTGCCAAAGGTAGCGCATTACCTGTTTCCCACTGGCCTCCCTAATGACCAGGTGGGGCAAAAAGCTATCACGGACATTACCTCACTGGAATCCTCATAACCACATCATGTATTATCCTCCCATTTTAAAAATGAGGAAAACTGAAACTTGGGTGAGCAAATTACTTGACCCAAGGCAACCAGTGATTGAGTGGTGGAGGAAGGATTTGAACTTACCCCCAAGTCCATAAAGGGCCTCCAGCCGTGGTGGATGGGAGACATACACTGAAGATCTAAGTCATGTATGACCACATCAACCAGCCATTATTGGGTCATCCTGTCTACCCCAACCGCTCTATTTCTAGTCATGCATAGGGTGGGACCATTATCCAGAGTTCCAGGAAAGAGGATCTCAGCGTTGTCCCTTCAGAAGTCCTGGCCGATGTTTCCCAGAGCAGGGTGCCCTCTCACCAGGGTCACTCATGCTGTCTGTGAACTTCAAAATCAAACCTCACACCTGCCTCCCTACCCTCCTCTGCAGATGGAGCTGTGGAGATTTCAGGAGCAGATGGGCTCTCCTTCACAGAGGAGGTCTGGCTGAGATGTGCCCACAGCTTTCCTTCTTCCAGATCTGCTGTGACACCACTCGCCAGCTCCTGCCAGGCCCAGCCACCAGCTCTATGATCCTGGGTCCCAGATCCTCTGCCTCAGCTGCTGTGGGCCCAGCCTTAGAGCCGGGTTCTCTGTGTGCATGTGTGTGAGCAGCTGTGGGGGCCAGGATAAGACTAACCTTGCTCTGTTCCCACCCCCTGGAGATGGGAAAGTACCCACTCAGCAGTGAATGCCTGGAGGGCAAAGGCAGAGTCCAGGGTCAGGGAGAGAGGGATTATGGAGGGACCCATGGGCTAGGAAGAGGAATGTGACTTATTCCCAAAGGAGTGAAGCTAATCAGGTAGGCCTGGATACAGGCCAGCCACTCCTTCATGGACAACAGAGCAGAACAGAGGCCACAAATTAATTACCAGGAAAGGATCCTCTTACCCCAGGGAAAGAAGGCCTTGCCCGAAGCCCCTTGGGGCAGGAAGCTGCTGGTTCTCTAGCTCCCAGGGCCTACCTCACTCATATCCTGGAAACTAGAAGGTAAAGTGCCACAACACAGATTCCTGGCCCCTCTTGGAAAGCTTCCATCCAATGAGCTTCCCTCCAGCCACCTCCAGCTGCCACCACCATTCTCTTGCACAGTGCCTTCATGCCCAACTTGGAAGAGAAGAAAAGTTTGTTCTGAGGCCCTGGCCTGATGGAGTTAGCAAATCCTGCCTTGGTCTCTACCCTAAAGCCGGTCACGGTGCAATCACTAGGAAATTCCTTTTCCAAACAACCACCAACAGCCACTACAGCTACCAGCTATTTAGTTTTTGCTACTTGCCAGGCACTGTGCATTATTTTATTTAATTCACAGAATAAGCCTGCCTATTATAATACAGATGAGGAGAAGAGAGCAACATAGCTCATATATGCTGGAGCTGGATTCTAATGAGGCCCTAGGTTTGCCCTCCCCTGTAGGTCCCAAGCTCAGTTATGCAAGGAAAGAAGAAATCAGAGGAGAGGCAGATGGAAAAGCTGGACAAAAGCCCCAAAGTGGTCTGAGAAAAGAGAAGATTTGCTGGGAAGAGCCAAGCCCTATAGTTAGAGCCTGTTCCCCTGGATGCTGGAAGGCTCAAGTAGACAGAGGACGGAGTCTGGGTCTGCAGGGAAAATAAATGCAGCCTGAAATGCAGCTACATCTCTCTAGACTCAAGGAAGGGGTGGTGAGGGCTGACAGCCTGATGCCACGGGATCTCAGACCGAGAATCTATTTGCTCCTCAGATGTGATGCCCTCTCTCTTGCCACCCATGGAGAAGCCAGACTCTGCCTGGCACAGGACAAATGGAAGCCTCAGTACTCAGAATCCCATCCCCATTCTTCCTTCTCCTGAGGACTGATACAGAGCCAGAGAATTCCAGAGAAGGCTGGGACCTCCGGGGGCAGGGACTGAGAGCAAGGGCTTGGAGTCAGATGGAAGTGGGCTGGATCCTACCTCTGTGTGACCTTGGGAAAGCTGGTCTCTGAGCATCTTAGTTTTGTCACCTGTAAAATGAGGATAATAATACCTACTTCATAAAGTTGGTATGACACACTGCTTGGCACACGGTAGGATAGATATCAAATAAATGGTAGCCACTAAGGCATTTAGAAATTGGATATAACTGGCTTGGCACCTATAGCTCAGCAGCTAGGGTGCCAGCTACATATACTAGAGGTGGTGGGTTCAAATTCAGCCCAGGCCTGCCAAACAACAATGACAACCAGAACCAAAACATAGACAGGCGTTGTGGTGGGCGCCTGTAGTCCCAGCTATTGGGGAGGCTGAGGAAAGAGAATCGCTTAAGCCCAAGAGTTTGAGACTGCTATGAGCTGTGACACCACAGCACTCTACCCAGGGTGACAACTTGAGACTTTGTCTCAAAAAAAAAAAAAAAAAGAGAGAGAAAGAAAGAAAAGAAAAGAAAAAGAAATTGGATATAACTTACTGAAGTCTACTCTGGCTCTGGAACCCCTGGGAAGGTTGAGAACAACTTCTGGTATGAGCAGAGGTTCTTCTAGTCTCCTGGCAGGGCTTGAGTGGCTAGCAGGGAGAGCCCTAAGAAGCTAATAATCAACATTCCCAGGTTGCCAAGCTGGGGCCAGGTCAGCCTCATGCTCATCAGCTGCATAGGAGATGGCCAGGACCAGGTAACCTGAGATAGAAGCTTTGCTGTGGCAAGGTGACCCTCTCACTAGGACACCTTCAGGTTGCAAACCCAAACCTGGAGCCAGTGTTGCCTTGCATTCTAACCCAAAGCACCTAAGCATAGTTTTCCCTGGCTCCTCTGAAATCCAGGCTAAAGGTAGGGGATCTCTGAGGATGTGCCAGTCAGCCAGCCATGCCAGGCATCCTTGAGGATTCTGCTCCTCCAGGCCAATGTCCAGAAATGCATGGTATGCCTCTGCCCTGGTGGGGAATGCCACTCGGACATGCTGAATCACAGAGGGGCAAGCTGGTGGTGTCCGTGAGTCACAGGGCTCAGGCCACAGTTGGGGAACTCAAGGGCTGGGCTGGGGGTGGGGATGAGGGGGGGACAGCAGGAGCCAGAGCTGAGGATGTTCTGCGGAGTTGCCCTTCTACTCTCCACAGCCTCAACTCTTCCCACCCAGAGAGAGTGAAAAGAGGATGCAGGTGCCTAGGAGTGTGTCGATTCTGCAGCACCAAAAATCCCTCACTGTCTCTGCAGCTCAACTCCCACTCAGCAGAAGGTCTGCATACAGCTCCAGAAGCACCCCTCGCCCTGCGGGGGGGGGGGGGGGGACGGGACACCGGCCTCCAGCCCATAACCTCTTGCTTTCAGATTTCGAATTCCTATCTCCCAATAACATCAGAATCCTCAAGGCACATCTCCTTAGCCCAACTAGCCACCCGCACCCCGCTTCTCACGCTGCATTAACCCTTTGTCCGTGCTGATGAGGGGTGCGGCCTCTGCCCCTTGGTCTTCCAGGGTGGACAGAGAGAAGGGACAGCGTTCTCCGGAGCCCCCTCCCAACACACCCCCAACACTGAGACCCGCAGGGCAGAGCTTCACGTGTCCCTCCACGTTCTCCCCAGGGTTCTGGCCTCCACTCCCCAGCCTGCGGCTCTGGAAAGTTCACCAGTGCCCGGAAAGCTCAAGGCGGCTATCAGGCCCCACACTCTCGAGTCCTCTCGTCACCGTCACCAGAGACTCCTGACCCTTGGCCTTCCCAGAAAGAAGGGCGCTTAGAAAGCGCCTGGTGAGCGTCTGGGTGGAAAACTTTGCTTTGTAGGGGTTCAAACGGGAGCCCAGGAGCCAAAGTGAGTTCCAGATGGAGACTCCCTGGGGGTGGTGCGGGGGTGGGGGCTCTGGGAATGCAAAATAGCTTCCCCTAGGCACTTGGAACTTAGGAGAAGCCTTTCCAAGGCATCCTCCACCCCGCGACACACGCACAGTACACGCCTGGTAATCTCCGATCTCCCCTGGTCACTCTGGTATTTCCCTCCAACCTCTCGCCCCAGGGGGAAAGCAGAGCTGCGCCTTTAAGAGCCTCTCCGCTTACCTTTGCTCCGTTTGCACTGCGCCGCGGTGCCCCCTCCTCCGACCTCCCCTTTCCTGCCCGGCGCCCCGCCGCGGGACTCACCGCGCGTGTCCTGGGGGCCGCCGGGCGCCCGCTCCCGCCCGCGACGGCAGGGGGGCCGCGGGGTTGGGCGCCGTACGGCTGGGGTCCCCACTCGGACTCTGGGCTGCTTCCCCGGCTCTAAAAAGGTGAGCGGCTCCCTACAGGAGCTGCAACCTGAGCTGGCGGAGGAAGAGGTGGAGAAGGGAGGAAGGGGGAGGAGGAGGAGGAGGAGGTGGTGGTGGTGGTAAAGGGGAGGGGAAGGGAGGGAGTGGAGGAAGGTAGGGAAGAGGAGGGAGAGGAGGAGGAGGAGGAAGGGAAAAGCCCGGCCCCAGCCAGAGTTTTTCACTTGTACAAGTTGACTCCGCCTACGCCCCGCCCACCCTGCCCACAGCCGCTGCCAATCCCCAGGGCTCCCTCTGCCCAGGTGCCCACCCCTTTCTCCCACTCTGGGAACCGGGGTCCAAGTGCCTCTTCCTGTTTTGTTTCTGAGGCTGGCCCTGAGAGCCTTGACTAGAGTATGAGGTCCTCTCGAATGGATCACCCCAGAACAGGGGCCAGGGCACCAGGGGGGGATTCACCATGAGTGTCTGTTGTCTCTAAGTACAGCTCTCCTACCTTCTGAGTCTGGTCCTTGCACCTAGCACCCTAGGAGCTAATGTGCAGGAGGCAGGTTCTCTTGGTCATTTTCTTCACGACAGTAGTCCTTGGGGTCTCCCTCTACCCTACATACTGGGACTTCAATTACCTTTCCAGACAGATCACCACCTAGTCACTGCCAGGACCCAAATGAAGACTTTGCTACTTACTAGCCATCATCTCACTTCAGTTTATCCTTTTGGAACAACTAAAGAGATGACTAAAGAGAGTCATCTAAAAAGTTTTACAGAATAGCTAAGACTAATTCAGCTCTCATGTTACAGAAGAGGAAACTGAGGCCCAGAAAGGAGATTGAACTGGCCCAAAGTCCCACAGGGACTTAATGGCAAGCTATCCTTATAACCCAGGCCAATGACCATTCTACCCACACCATCTGCCTTCAGAGATTAAAAAAAGTAAAAGAAGAAGAAGAATCTGGGGTGGGGTAAATCTGAAGGGCCCAGTGCCCTCATCTGGCCCCCTCCCAGTTCTGCTTACCCCTGAGGGCTGTGAGGAAAGGAGGCAAGTCTCAGCTCTATGGGTACCAAATCAAAGAGGCCTGTGTCCTCTGCCCTGCCAGTGGGCTTGGCTATTCAGTCTAAGAGCCCAGACAAGGAAGGTCTCTTGAGGAGTGACTGGTCCACAGTATACATGTGCTTCTGCCTGAACTCCTTCCCTGGGGAGAATGAGTTATTGAGAATAGATAAATTTCCTTCTGGACATTGGCCTGAGGTCCTACCTTTGGCTAGAGAAAGAAAGAAGACACCAGGCCCATGCATGAAAGTGACAGCAGGGGCATCCCACAAAGGGCTTCCCAATTCTTTGCCACCTCTATTTTCTCTGCCAGGGCATGCACATTTCCTGGGTGCACGCACCTTATAAAAATGAAACTGCCGAGCTTTCATAGGGATGCAAAGAATAGAAGCAACCTGCTTAGCTCTGTGATCCCAGTGTGTGGTAAGAATACTGGGGAGCAGGGAGGCCATGCAGGGGCCGGAAAGGGGCAGGGAGAGAAGGCGAGAAGGACTGCAGCTGAGAACTATTTACTAGAGGATTAGAGAAAATGGGGCCAAAGGGCAGAATTTCAAGGAACCAGGGGTATGAGGTCAAGAAATCTCAACAAACACTTTCTGAACACCTCTTATGTGCCAAATAGTAGCCAGGGCTCCGGGCACAAAAGATGAGTAAAATATAATCCCTACTCCCAAAGAGGGGTGATCTAAGAGGGGGCAAGGCAAGTGAGCAAGTTAGGATGCTATAGGAGATTAGTGTTACGGCTGTCTTAGAGGAGTTATTCCACTGAACTGAGAACAAGGATGGGGAGGAAAGATTTTTCCATTTTTCCATGTACAGGGGTGAGAGAATATGGCCCCACAGTTATAAGTCTGGGATGGGGGTGACACTGTGGAGGGAAGCAGATGCTGGGTCCTAAAGACCCTTCTGCACACACTGTGGCTAACTAGCCAGGACTCTGTCCTGAAATCACAGAGCATTTCAGAGGAAAGAGATATCACCAGGTCTGTGATTTAGAATGATCCCTCTGGGAGCTGAGTAAAGGATTGATGGGGGAGGCAAATCTGAAGACAGTAACCCCAATGTGGAGACAAATCCTAGTGGAAAATGATGCAGGCTTAGATTATAGGAGTGTCAGCAGGGAGAAGAAGGAACTTATCTGAGAGACAGTTAGAAGACAGGGTTGGGGGATCAGCACCCATAGCTCAGTGGTTAGGATGCTGGCCACATACACTGGGACTGGCAGGTTGGAACCCAGCCGGGGCCTGCTAAACAACAATGATAACTTCAACAACAAAGAAATAGGCAGGCATTGTGGCAGGTGCCTGTAGTCCCAGCTACTTGGGAGGCTGAGGCAAGAGAATCACTTAAGCCCAAGAGTTTGAGGTTGCTGTGAGCTGTGACGCGACAGCACTCTACCAAGGGTGATACAGTGAGACTCTGTCTCAAAAAAAAAAGAAGAAGATAGGGTTGGGAATTTGTGCCTATTTGATTATAAAAGATAAGGGAGCCAAGAGTGTCAGTCAGGTTAGAAATGCTGATACGATGAGCTAAGGAGGGCCTTAGAGCTTCTTACTTGCACCTCTTTGTATTGCCATGTGACCCTGGACAAGTGATTTTAACCTTCCAGAGCCTGGTTTGTAATCTGTAGAACAAAGATGCCAAAATCAATCTTGTATGGTGGTTGTGCATATTAGACATAATGTGTGCTGAGGGTCTAGCATAAGATAGGGCTTTGCTCATAACAGGGACCCAATACATAGAAGATAGAATTACCTTCATTTGTCCATTCAGCAAACATTTGCTGAGCACCCGCTTTGTGCCAAGGACTACACCAGATCGTTGGGCTATAAGGATTATTTTAAGTCTGAGGCAGACTTAAAGTCTCATGCAGCTCAGTAGGAGAGAGATGTGCAGAGTAATAGTCATTTATCAGGGCAATATGGGCCGGGGCAAAGGAGGAAGCCCTTAATGCTGCCCAAGAGAATCAGGGCAGTTTCACAGAGGAAAGGCGACAGCTTAAACAATGTAGGCCCAGCCACCTGCTCAGAGACTGTTGTATCATCTCCACCCCCACACATGAGATTACATTTCAGAATCTCTGAGATCTTTAATTTTGAAGCATTGTCTTGCTTCTCTGGGTTAGGAAAAGAGGACAGGCTGCCAATGGGCATCTACTTGGAACCCGGAGAATGGCACATGGATCTTTGGCTGCCCTAAGAAAGGTCATGCACAGTTGGACAGATAGACAGGGGAACCAGGTAAGAGTGACCACGTGTGCATGTGGGCAGGGCTTACTAGCTAGATAGGGAGCACATGATGTGCAGCCTGTGTGTGTGCATTTGGGCCATGCCAACTTTTCTTCCCATACCTCTTTCAAAAGCCCAGCACAGCAGAAGCAGAACTACCTGGGTCTTCCACTAAGGACTCTAGCCCTGCTGCTCCCACTGAGCAAGACCTTGAGCTTTAGACTGTATGACCTTGAGCAGCTGCTCACACTTCTGACTTCGTTTCCTGTCTGTAACATGTAGATGGTAACAGGTCCTCTCTCCTAGGGCTGCTGTGAGGTTTCAATGAGATATAAACTTGGTGCCCAATCAATGCTGTTTCCCTTCTCTGCAGCCCATTAACTCCCCCCTTACAGAGGGTCAGACAAAAGACTCCCAGGTGGGGTCCCTCCCCACTCCACACCTCAGCCCCTGGATCTATCCCTTATAGGCCCTGCAGACCCCTTTCCCTCACCAGCTTAAAAAGTCTGTGGCACCCTTGGGAGCCCTGGTCCCCCTCACAGTCCAGCAGCACAGTGCTGGCAGGCCTGAGCAGCATGACAATAGGGGCCCCAGCAGCAGCTCAGCCTGCTCCCACTCTGCTCCTGTCTCTCCTCCCTGCTGCCAATGACATGCCACTGCTCTGCAGATAGGACAAGCGTCCCTGGGCGCCTGAGGGCTGAGTGGGGAAGCTGGAAACAGCTCTCCCTCACAGACTGTGTGGGCAGTGCACTGGAATAGCTTCTGA